TTTGGATAAATGATTATAAATTAGAAATGAATTTGGCACTAGAGTGAGGCATTAGGCACCATCTCTTATTAAAATTAATAATTATAATATTTAATTAATTAATTTAGATTAAACTGGAAGAAAAGAATCAGCCCGAAGTGGGACTTGAACCCATAACTTCCGCTTAACGTGTGGACGTGTTGCCAGTTATGCAACCTGAACCTTTGGTCTGATCTTCTCTTCCAGCATATATAAGTTAAAATTTTCTTCCAGTTTAATCTAAATTAATTAATTAAATATTATAATTATTAATTTTAATAAGAGATGGCACCTAATGCATCACTCTAGTGCCAAATTCATTTCTAATCTATAATCATATATACATATATAATCTTTTAAAAAGAAGCAGAGTTAATTTTTCAAAAGGCTGAGTAAGTCAAAGTATAAGACCACAAATTTTTTAAAATATCAAATTATTTTTCTGATAAAAATTCTTACAGATATATAAATGCAATTTTAGTTTAAAAATTTCTTTTTTTGTTTTAAATAAGTGATTTCCAATAAATCCACATGACTATATACAAAATCATAGTGTCATAAAGCTATAAGCAATAACTTTGATGATTAGTTATATATAACTATTCATATTTCCTTTACAAATTAGTACACTTGATGTGTGTTATTGCCAATTGTAATTAATGAGTTTACTCAAACAAGTTAGTCCAAATCTCAAACCCTACAGATCTCATTAAAAAAATTTTTTTTAAATATTAAATTTTACCTAAATTTTGTCTACAATTTTTAAATGAATAAATATTATAGAATTTCATTTTATATTACAATCTTATACAATGGCTTTTATGTAAAATTTACATAAAATCTGACATTTTTGATGTTTCAGACCAATCTCACACCAAAATAGCATCTTATGGATTTTTACTATAGAAATTTCACTCATGTCTGATCTAAAGATTCATAAATGTACCGTATTTTCAATAATAATAATAATAATAATAATGTAAACAATATAAAAAGTTCTTTAATTAAAACTTATTTCTGTATATAAAATATATTTGTATGTGTGTTATATTCTCCATTCTCTGTATTAATTACTAGCTGTACCAGGCCACACATTGCTGTGGCTCAAAATGTATCTATTATAAATGTATAACACTCCCCATGGGAGGGAATTTCGAAAAATCCCTTCTTAGTGTACATTCTCTTGACA